TGAATGGACTGAGACAGTCCCCAGTGATCCCATCTCCCTGTGTTCACAGCTTGTAGCCCCTTCTGCACTGTATCAAGGTTGGCCTGTGAGCCACAGCAGACGGCAGAAGAGACGGTATGTCACTCCTAAGATCAGGGTATAAAAGACACCGGGCTTCTGTCTTGGTCACTCTCTCTCATTATTGTATCACTTGCTCATGCCACATCATGAGGAACCCTGTGGAAAGGCCTGGAGGTTGAGGAACTGAAAGCCTAGGATCCCTGGGTGGCTCAGTGGTTTGGCGCCTGCCTTTGATCCTGGAATCCCGGGATCAAGTCCCACATCAGGCTCCCTGCATGGAGCCTGCTTCTCCCTCTGCCTATGTCTCTCTTTCTGTGTATCTCATGAATAAATAAATAAAATCTTAAAAAAAAGAAAGCCTCCTGCCCTTAGCCACGTGAGTGAACTTGTAGGCAGATCCTTCCATCCAAGTGAGCTTTCAAATGATTACAACCCCAGCTAGGATCTTGGCTGCAACCTTGTGAAAGACCCTAAGCCAGAATCATCCAGATACGCTGCCTACATTCCCTCAGAAGCTGTAAGACAGTGAACATTTGTTGTAATAAAATGCCAAGTTTGGGGGGCGCCTAAGTGGCTCAGTTGGTTAAGCGTCCACTTCTGTTTTGGCTCAGGTCATGACTTCAGGGTCATGAGATCCAGCCCCACATCAGGCTCCACACTCAGCGTGGAGTGTGCTTGGAATTTGGTCTCTCCCTTTCCCTCTGTCCCACCCCCCCTCCCCTGTGTACATGTGCACTCCCTCCCAAATAAATACATCTTTTAAAAAATTGACGAGTTTAGCCTCAATTTGTTTCAAGCAATAGAGAATTAATATGGCAATAGTCTCAAACTTCTACACACTTTAAAGGCTGTCTAGCCTAATGCACTTCCCATAAATATCTAATCACAAAATAGCAAAAGAAGAGTGAAGATGGCTCCAATTGGAAATTGGGAACTATTCCCAACTCTACTTTGATGTTAAAGGCCCATAAGAATCATAATGCCTTCATAGACTGCTACCTGGCATTTCCGTATCAGTTCCTAGAGCCACAGGACTATCATTCGCAGTCCTTTTGTCTTGGACTTTCCCCTGGTTGATATGCAGGATGTGTGCATTTATCAGCCTACCTATGACTGCATACCAAGATGTGCAGTAAAAGGCAGATCTCTCAGATTTGCCACAATCGCCACCAGCCATCTACAGAACTCCTTTCATCTTTTAAAACTGAAACTCTACAACCCATTAAACACCCACTCTCCATTTTCCCTTTCCCCCTACCCCTCGGCAAACACCATTCTACTTTCCATGATTTTGACTACTGTAAGTATCTCGTGTAAGTGGAACCACACAGTACTTGGCCTTTTGTGACTGGTTTATTTCACTTAGCACAGTGTCCTCAAGGTTCATGCAGGCTGCAGCATATGTCAGAATTACCTTCTACTTTAAGGCTGAATACTATTACAGTATATGCATATACCACATTTTGCTTATCCTTTCATTGGTTGATGGATAATTGGGTTGCTTCCAACTCTGGGCTACTGTGAGTAGTGTTGCTACAAATACAGGTGTGCAGATATATCTCTGAGGCCCTGCTTTCAATTATTTTGTGTTTACACCCAGAAATGGAATTGCTAAATCTTATGGTAATTCTATTTTTAATTTTTTGAGTAACCATCATCGTGTTTTCCACAGTGATTGTACCATTTTACATTCCCACCGACAGTGAGCTAGGGTTCCAGTTTCTCTGCCAACACTTATTTTATTTTCTGTTTTGTATATTAGCCATCCAATGGGTGTGGTTATTCATTTAACTTGTATTTCCTTTTTTATAGATGACAAAACTGAAGCACTGAAAAGTCAAACGAGGGTTCACAAACATTAAGCGTTAGAGCTAGGATCTGAACCCAAATAAACTGACCCACTATTAACCAAGATGTCAAAATTCTTGTGAGGCAGAAGTTCCAAGACTCTCAAGGAGAAGAAAGAGGGGGTTCAAGGGCTAACACTCACCAAATAAAGGGCAAAAAAATAAGCAGCAAATTAAATTTATCTTTCTCCTGATAATGTTCTCCCAATGCTTGGAGGCTGAACTTGCTAGGAAATTACAAAATATTGGGGACCCCTGGTTGGCTCAGTGGTTTAGCGTCTGCCTTTGGCCTAGGGCGTGATCCTGGAGTCCCAGGATCGAGTCCCACATTGGGCTCCCTGCATGGAGCCTGCCTGTGTCTCTGCATCTTTCTGTGTGTGTGTCTCTCATGAATAAATGAATAAAATATTTTTAAAAAAGAAATTACAAAATATTGTTCTGGAGGTAAAATTCTTTTTTTTTTCTTTTCTCCATTAATGAGCTCCTTTCAGAATGTCCATTAGGACTTAGACGGCTAACAGACACATGAAAAGATGCTCAATCTTTTCCATTCATCATCAGGGAAATACAAATAAAAACTACAATGAGATACCACCTCACACCTGTCAGAATGGCTAAAATGAACAACACAGGAGACAACAGATGTTGGGAGGATGAGGAGAAAGGGGAACCCTTTTGCACTGTTGGTGGGAATGCAAACTGGTACAGCCACTCCGGAAAACAGTATGGAGGCGCCTCAAAAAGTTAAAAATAGAGCAACCCTATGACCCAGCAATTCCACTACTAGGTATTTACCCAAAGGATACAAAAATACTGATTGGAAGGGACACATGTACCCTGATATTTTACAGCAGCATTATCGACAATAGCTAAATTAGGGAAAAAGCCTAAATATCCATCAACTGATACATGGATAAAGAAGTTCTGGTGTGTGTGTGTGTGTGTGTGTGTGTGTGTGTGTAATGGAATATTACTCAGTCATAAAAAGAAATGAAATCTTGCCATTTGCAATGACATGGATGGAGCTAAAGCATATGATGCTAAGCAAAATAAGTCTGTCAGAGGAAGATAAATACCATATGATTTCACTCATATGTGAAATTTAAGAAATAAAACATGAATAATGGGGGGGGGAAGGAGGGGCAAACCAGGAAACGGACTCTAAACTATACAGAACAAAGAGGGCTGCTGGAGGGGAGGTGTGTGGGGGCCAAACGGGTGATGGGCATTAAGGAGGGCACTTGTGATGAGCACCATGTGTTGTTATGTAAGTGATGAATCACTGAATCCTACACCCAAAACTAATATTACACTGTATGTTAACTAACTGGAATTTAAATAAAAACTTGTAGGGGGATGGCTACAACCAGGGGGATGGCTAAACCCTGGGTGGCTCAGTGGTTTAGCACCTGCCTTCAGCCCAAGGTGTGATCCTGGAGTCCCGGGATCGAGTCCCTTGTCGGGCTCTCTGCATGGAGCCTGGTTTTGCCTGTGTCTCTGATTCAAATAGAGTCTTTAAAAAAATAAAATAAAATCTTAAAAAAACAACAAAAACTTGTAACAAACAAAAAGGACTTAGACTGGAGCCTTCTTATGCCCTGGTTTCTGTACTATCTAGTCAGGCCACCTAAAACCAAAACAGTTCCCTTAAGGTTTTGTCAGCCATATACATCCCAGCTGTGTTTTTAATTAGCCCAGGACTAAAACATGCCCCTGCCCTTTTTGGGTAAATATTTCATTTTTAAAATATTTTTAAGTAATCTCTACACCCAACATGGGGCTCAAACTCACAACCTGGAGATCCAGAGTCCTATGTCCTTGTAACTGGACCAGCCAGGCCCCCTTCACAGAGGCCTCTTAGGTCCCTGCGGACTACCCAAGTGCTCAGGTGTTACACTTTGTATCTGTATGAAGGAGGTCAACAAGCTCTGGCCTCAGAGGAATTCCTTCCTCCAGAGCAGAGACAATGTGTGAGATTTAAGAACCTGGGCCTTAGCATCTGGCAAACATTTACTCCTTTGAAACTCAGCTTGTTACTTGGCATGAAGTAACTCAACATCTCTGAGTTTTATATATAAATATATAAATATAAATCCTATATAAACCAGGAAATGACAGGATCAGAGCTTATGCACAAGAAGAACCTAGCATACAGAAGGCACTCAATAAATGCTTGGGGGTGTTACTGTTTTAGTCCTAGATCCGTGCATAAGAAAATTATGCAATATAAACATTGACCATGGAGCAAATGCCGGTTTTTAAGAATGTATGCTCAGGGGCCCCTGGGTGGCTCAGCGGTTGAGCGTCTGCCTTCAGCTCAGGCCTTCAGCTTCAGATGGGGCTGCCCGCATCTCCCTCTGCCTGTGTCTCTCATGAAAAAATAAAACCTTTTTTTTTTTAAGTATGTTCGAATTCTACAAAATATGCGTAACAGGAGTTGCCGACCACAGAACAGGGGACACACATCAATACATTGTTACCTTCAAGGTAAGTATGTAGATCCGCTGCATTGGAATCAGGTCATCGGGTGAACCTACTAGAAGAGTCCTCGTGTTCTGAGCTGTGACTCAGCCATTTCTTGAACAGATTATTGCACAGTAGCAAAAATTTCTGCATGCTTAGTGTGAACTATAAACAACAACAACAAAAACCCACCTCCCTGGGATTTGTGGACGTGTGCGGGAGCACAGCCCCCTGGCGGTTGTGGAATCTGGGAAGCCCGCCCAGCGGGTGAGGACTGGCCCTCCCCTCACCCTCCTATCGCCGCAGGCCTGTTAGGGTTGGCGACTCCTCTCGGAACCGCGCGGCCTTAACCGCAGAGCAGCTAGGGCGCTAGGGCGCTAGGGCCCCAGCCGCGGTCGGCCCCGCCCCGAGCCCCGCCCCCGAGCCCCGCCCCTCTCGGACCCCGCCCCCCAGCGCGCGGCCTGCATCTCCCAGGAGCCCCTTCGGCTGCCACTCTTCGGAAAGGAAGTGGCCTCGGCCGGCGCGGGGGGCGGGCAGGGAAACAGCAGTTAAAGCCCGGCTCTCATTGGGCAGCGGCCGATGGAGGCCGGCCGGAGGCGGGACTTCCGCTCGCTCGGGTGTACGTCGGGCTTGAGGCGGAAGCGCAGCGGGGGCGGGAAGGTTGTAGAGCCGCACGTTGGGCTCTGTTTGCAGGTCTCTAAGTGGTCGCGCCCCCTTTGAGAGAGCGATCGGACGGCGCGGACCGGCCTGGGCGCTCTGGAGGCCCCGGTAAGTAGGCCCGCCCCACGGCGCCGGGGGACGGAAGTGCGCGGCCCCGGCGCTGACCTGCCGCCGCTGTCCTTGCGGCCACGGGGCAGCGGCCTCCTCGGCTTCCTCGCTGCCCCGCGCCCAGCCTGCCTCCACGCCCTCCTCTCCTGCAAGGACCCCTTGGGGCGCTGGTGCCGCCCTGTCGCCCCCCTGCCGAACCTTCCCCCTCACTGGGTGGCCCTGTTTCCTGTCGTCGCCACCGGCTCGGCTCGCCCGGTGCTTCTGCCCCGGGAGCACCTCGGCATATTTTGTTCCACGCCCAAGTGTGCTTGCGAGCCCTCGTGCGCTTCCCGGGTTGCCCCGAAGCCCGCCCTCGTCACGCCAGGGGACTCCGTGCCTCGCTGCTGCCGGAGCACCGTTGGCGCCTTTTAAAGAGCGCGTTGGTTGAACTTGTTAGCGTGGTCGTCCGCCCGAGGAGGGCCTGTCTTCTCGCTGGACTGCTTGCTCCCGAGGGCAGCAGGACGGCCTTGCCCACTCGCGATCTCCCCAAAGCCTGATACAAAACCCACGACGTTGGGAAACGAAACAGCCCCAAGTATTCGTCCTGGCTTCTGGGGCCCGGGGCACGGCTCTCCCCATCTGTAAGACGGCGATGAGTAAGATAATTTCAAGCATCTTACGCATTGTAGGGTGCCGAGCATGTACTTGATAAATTCCAGGCGTTACGTTTTCTTTCTTAGCTTTCAGCATACACAGTAGCTACTGGATTTTTTAAAGATTTTATTTATTTATTCATGAGAAACACAGAGAGGCAGAGACACAGGGGGAGAAGCAGGCTCCATGCTGGGAGCCCGACGTGGGACTCGATCCTGGGACTCCAGGATCACGCCCTGGGCCCAAGGCAGGTGCTAAGCCACTGAGCCACCCAGGCTGCCCATCTGGATATATTTTTTTAAGTGCATCAGGAAGGACCATAAAGGAGTGATTTTTTTTTTCTTTCTTCCTAGCATCAATCATATTGATGTTCTCGATTGGCTGATTCATTTGGTAGTGTGTGGTGAATACGGCGTAATGCTGTACGTTGAAGACAGTAATGCTAAATGTTGGTATCAACATCATCTGCAAAAGTCAACATTTAACCTTAACGTTCTAATGAAATACTTGAAGGGCTTGCAGAATCTAAATTTGTGACTTAAGTCTGTGCCACTTTTCAGGTGTGTATTTCTGAAGCGATGAAGGAACGGAAAACGTTTTATTGTAGGGAGGCTAGCTGTTCCTGACAACTTATAGTTTGTTGTTAAATATGACGCATTTTATATATGTGTACATATATATATATATATATATTTTTTTTTTAACAGGTAATTGTAAAGTGCTGACCAGTTGCCATTGAACATAGTTGAAACAAAATAGAAGATAATGGCAGCAAACCCTTCAGGACAAGGTAATGCATGCTGGAACTTGTTATTACTAGGATATTCCCCCCTTTTAATAAAGGTGTTTTGATAGAAAAGTTAGGATAAGGCAGTTACTGTAGTCAATAAAAAATGAATAGCAAAGTGAAAACCCAGTATTTGAAGTCCAACATTGTATCAGATATATAACATTCTTAATAGCTGTTAATCCTATGTTTTACCCTGTGTTAAGATTATTCACATTGTAAACCTCAGGTCCTCCTCTGACATCTGTGTTCTCTTCTACTTGAAATCAGAGACACTTTTAAGGTTATAATTGTCACCAGGCAGTATCCATGCTGCCTTCATTTGCCCTAGAAACTTTTGTACACATCACCTCTGTTTAGAAGCTCTCTAAAGCAAAGCAAACCAGACGCATCCTAGAGAAGTTTTTATTTAAAAACAAATTTTAAAAAATAAAATTTAATCTCTAGAAAGTATTAAATCCCATTCTGTAAGTTGTGTCCTGCTTCAAAACTTGAAGCAAATCTCTTTTTTCCTTTCCCTGTCAACTCTGAACTCTTGTTTGACCCGTATTTTTATTATTTCTGTTCTGATTTTTTTTTTTTTGGCCTTAGTTTTGTCTTAATTTTGTCTTCATATAAATGTAATCATAAAGCATGTTCTTGTGTCCAGCTTCTTTCACTCACTAAAGTGTGAGTTTCATCCATGTTGTGCCATGTGTCAGGAGTTCATTCTGTTTATCATGGAGTTCTCTTCTACTGTATGTATTTACCACCATTTTTTTTTTAATTGGTTCTGTTTAGGGGCTTTGGGGGTTGTCTCAGTGTGGGCCATTGTGAGTGGAGCTGCTTTGAATATTTGTTTATGTCTTTTTGTAGATATTTGGATTAATAGCTGAATTTATTATTAACTTTTTGAAAAACTGCCAAACCTTTTCCCACACTGGCTATACCAATTTACATTCCCTCTGGCAATGTGTGAAAATTCTGGGTACTCTCTATATAATGTTCTAGGTCTTCTAATTTTAGCCATCTTGGAGGATGTGAAGCAACATCTCATTGTATTAACTTGCATCTCCCTGATGACAGATGTTGAGCTCTTCTTTGTAACTACTTGCCATCATAAATTTTCTTTTCTTATTTTTTAAATTGCTCATTTTTAAAAAATTGGCTTATTTTTATTATTAGGTTTTCTTCTTTTTAGAATCTAGATCCAGGTCTTTTGTCACTGCTAATTGCATCATCTGAATCATCTTGGAGTTGGTTTCTGTTGACTGCTTTTTTTTTTTTTTTTTTTGGAGTGTAGGTCACATTTTCCTTTTTCTTGCTATACTTAGTGATTTGTTATTGGATACTGGATATTATGACTAAGACACTGTGGAGACTCTGGCTTCTTTTTTATTGCTCTGACATGTAATTTTTGTTCTAGCAAATGCAAGCCCTCAACTCAGAGTTGTCTTCCATGTGATGGGCAGTAGCTGAAATCTGTGCTCAGTCTTTTTAGCTTCTAGCTGCTGCTTTATTGCTGGATCCCTCTGGGGTCTCCATATGTGTAGTTTATTTTTTTTTATTTTTTATTTTTTTTATAAATTAATTTTTTATTGGTGTTCAATTTACCAACATACAGAATTACACCCAGTGCTCATCCCGTCAAGTGTCCCCCTCAGTGCCCGTCACCCAGTCACCCCCACCCTCTGCCCTCCTCCCCTTCCACCACCCCTAGTTCATTTCCCAGAGTTAGGAGTCTTTATGTTCTGTCTCCCTTTCTGATATTTCCCACACATTTCTTCTCCCTTCCCTTATATTCCCTTTCACTATTATTTATATTCCCCAAATGAATGAGAACATACACTGTTTGTCCTTCTCCGATTGACTTATTTCACTCAACATAATACCCTCCAGTTCCATCCACGTTGAAGCAAATGGTGGGTATTTGTCGTTTCTAATGGCTGAGTAATATTCCATTGTATACATAAACCATATCTTCTTTATCCATTCATCTTTCGATGGACACCGAGGCTCCTACCACAGTTTGGCTATTGTGGACATTGCTGCTATAAACATCGGGGTGCAGGTGTCCCAGCGTTTCATTGCATCTGAATCTCTGGGGTAAATCCCCAACAGTGCAATTGCTGGCTCGTAGGGCAGCTCTATTTTTAACTCTTTGAGGAACCTCCACACAGTTTTCCAGAGTGGCTGCACCAGTTCACATTCCCACCAACAGTGTAAGAGGCTTCCCTTTTCTCCGCGTCCTCTCCAACATTTGTGGTTTCTTGCCTTGTTAATTTTCCCCATTCTCACTGGTGTGAGGTGGTATCTCATTGTGCTTTTGATTTGTATTTCCCTGATGGCAAGTGATGCAGAGCATTTTCTCATGTGCATGTTGGCCATGTCTGTGTCTTCCTCTGTGAGATTTCTCTTCATGTCTTTTGCCCATTTCATGATTGGATTGTTTGTTTCTTTGGTGTTGAGTTTAGTAAGTTCTTTATAGATCTTGGAAACTAGCCCTTTATCTGATACGTCATTTGCAAATATCTTCTCCCATTCTGTAGGTTGTCTTTGAGTTTTGTTGACTGTATCCTTTGCTGTGCAAAAGCTTCTTATCTTGATGAAGTCCCAATAGTTCATTTTTGCTTTTGTTTCTCTTGCCTTTGTGGATGTATCTTGCAAGAAGTTACTATGGCCAAGTTCAAAAAGGGTGTTGCCTGTGTTCTCCTCTAGGATTTTGATCCATATGTGTAGTTTAATCAGGAAGCAAAAACTTTGCTTTACTCCTTCTGCCTTTCCCTCTGGGGTTTCTCCATGCTGCCAGCCCTGAACTGTCCTCTGATACCTCAAAGCCAGTAAGGTGAGGCTATCCAAGCTGTTTGTGAATTGAACAAAAGATCACAAATTTCCAAATATCAATAGGTGCAGTTTCTGCTTGATTTTGGTCAGTTTCTAGTGCTTTCAAATAATGAATTTTTAATCTTTTGTCTGGAATTTATTTTTTACTTATTTAAGATTTTATTTATTCATGAGAGACACCGAGAGAGAAGCAGAGACATAGGCAGAGGGAGAAGCAGGCTCCCTATGGGGAGCCCAATGTGGGACTTGATCCCAGGACCCCAGGATCACAACCTGAGCCAAAGGCAGATGCTCAATCACTGAGCCAACCAGGTGCCCTTTGTCCAGAATTTATAATTAAACTGTGGCAGGGTTAGTGTAACCAAACTACCTGCTACTACTAGAAGTTGGAAGTCTGCTGTTTCATTGTATATAAATCTCATTTTAGTGTATTAGTTGCATTGAGGGCACACTAAAGGTTGCATGAGTTTTATAGAAGTGTACTATTGTAAAAAGCTAGCCTTGGTGACAGTTGTAACTACCTAATACTATTCTGTTCTCTAAAATAACCACGTTTGTATGCTCTATGCATTAATCACAGGCCAACACTGACTTCTGATCTTTGATCTCTTCTTTTCATCAGAGTTACCAGGTGAAAAATAATTTGATTTAAGCCAAAATGAAAACAAAGAGACGTCTATTTTGGAAGACAAATATGGCTGCTAAAAATCCCACAGTTCAGTCCAGGCAAAACTAAATTTAAAATTATCCATTTGTTCTAATAGCACAATAATTGAGATTTGCAATTTGCTGGTTATTTTTATAGCATTTGCAATAAAATGTGGTCATTTTTAGGGTTGCCTTTGATTGATATCATATTTGCTGAAACATCCTCTAATCTACATAGAAATAAATTTAGATTAGCCTTTTGGCTTTTGTTGTTCTTTTGTCAGTGATTTTGTTGGTGTCCTGAGCTGCTCTTGGGCACCAGCAGAGGGAGTCCATATCCTGCTCTGTAGACTCCTAGTGAAAATTTTAAAATTCTTACCTATTTGGATCTATTGCATTTTATTTTCTATATTAAATTATTTCTTTACTCTTTACATGTATAGGAACTACTTAGTACAGAGACTGAATGCCAAGTGGTGTAATTATCTTAACAATGATAACTGAAAGAACCATGACTTAGGAAAAAAAATCCTGATCTGTACATTGCAATTAGTTAATGTCTCTGGTGTAGGAGACAGAATCCCATTGTGTTCACTGAGCCCTCGAGCAGATCTAGTCTGTCATAGTGTGGTAGCAGTCAGGACTGCTAAATGTCATAAGCTCTTGGCACACAGTGACTGAAGTCTCCTTAGCTTCCATCGTACTATGGAAGATTTGGTTGGTTCTTAATGGCTGCTTGATTGCTAAGTCATGTTCTGAGAATTTTATTTTATTTATTTTATTTTATTTAGATTTTATTTATTTATTCATGAGAGAGAGAGAGGCAGAGACACAGGCAGAGGAGGGAGGCTCCATGCAGGGAGCCTGACACGGGACTCCATCCCGGGTCTCCAGGATCAGGCCCTGGGCTGAAGGCGGCACTAAACCACTGTGCCACCGGGGTTGCCCTGTTCTGAGAATTTTAATATGTAGAGGCAGATTGTCAAACTGGAATTTGGCCAGGGTACAATGTAAAGAATCTTTCATTATTGGTAAATACTAAGGTCCTATGATCATGTGGTGGCAGTTGGATTGGTCCAACCTCATTTCAGACACACAGAAACCTGGTAAAATACTAAGAACTGTGAATTTTTTTCTTTGATTCTCTTATTTTCTAGTTATCTTTCAATGTTTATAGTAATAACTACAAGCCCTGCAGATCAGGTGATGGAAAGTATTGATTTGGAGTTATTCGGGATGCTCTTAGTTGTGATTTCAGGGTGCTAGGTAGGAGTGGGGTGGGAGGTCTCTTGCTTGATCTCAGGCCCAAATACAAGTCTTACCCCAAACCATCTATGGTCAGGATGAAAAGCAAGGAATGCTACCTCTCAATTAAGATGTAAATTAAAATTTGCACTGATGTGTAAAAATAATTAAAAATTCTTGTGTTTGTACCTTTTTAAAGAGGAAAATGTGGATGCAAAGATGCAATTTGCAGTAGGTTTTTAAAGCTAGCTTTCTTTTCATGTCATTTTTAACTGCAAGGGCAAAGA